AATTAAATTAATTAGTGTCAGTAATTAATTCTAGATCCTAGTCATTATGGAGAATTGTGTTTTGTATAGACTTTGTTTTTATCATTTATCAAATTACGACGAGATGTAACAATGCAAAGAAACTCCCACAATAAGAAAAATACGAATAAACATCAATGAACTCTGTTCCATTCATTATAATTTCATTTTTATAAAATAGCGACTTAAACAAAATATGATTAATTTTATTACTGCAAAAAAAAACATGTGAATTCGTCTAGTCGGTTTTAAATTTTGTCTAAAAAGTACGTCCTTTGATGTATACAAGATGACGAAGACAATTTCTAAACGTGGGAGAATCACAGGAAATCTGATTAGATCGCTTTATAGGGAAATATCTATTATCCATTCAGAGAGCAGTGCCATAAGTGTTCCGTATGAATTCATTTAAAATGTTTTACAAAGAGAATTTTAAGTGGACCGAAACGTACGTGAAGGTTTTAATTAAATTTTCAAAGTGACGGTCAAAGATAGTGGCCTGAACAGCGTTTAGTGACTAAAAGACTGTTTCTTCTAATTTTACAAGTTTAGAAGACGATAATTATTTTCTAAAGTATGTTAAAAATGTCTTACAAGCTTTCTTATCATTAAGTAACAGTCGAATGAAAATCGGTTCAGTCGTTACAAAGTCATCGCTTATCTCTCAACACCAGTATTAATTGACCCGCAGTCTCATTTTCCACAACAGTCATGTGTATTTTATCGTTTTCGTGTTAAATGTGATTCAACAATGTTATCACTGAATAATACAATCATTAAGATTATGTAGCACGTAAAAGTAATATTTTAAAAATTTGAACGAACTTTAAAACGGTATTTAAGTTTTCACTCGACTTGCCCCCGATATGAATTTATTTAAGGCAGTAAGTATTCTTATCGAAAATATAATTCCATACATAATTTCTTCTACGAATTAGTTTTAGAAATCATAAAAAACAGTTTATGAAAGAACACGAACATAACTTATTTCTATGAACCAATATCTATGCTTTCTATTTGCATCAGGTTACTTAAAGTTTTCGTAATAGAGAAGCAAAAGATTTTTGATAAAAAATATATATCTAAAACAAGCAAAAAACATAATATATTTTTTCTATTTCCCAGGACAGCAACCGCACACCAAAAGAATAATTGAAATCCTATAAGGTTCGAAAGAAATGTGTATTAACTTTGGACTGAACTCACTGACTGAATGAACTTGGATTTGTATTTAATTTGTCTGCTTTCCTCTTTTTAAAATAATGTAATTTTACATATTTTGAAGTCTAACTTTTGAATGCCAAATGACAAACACAAACGATTCGAATTTAAGAATCATCACGAACACGAAAAACATTCCTTGTTTCCATTGGAATCGGTTAAAAAATGTATGCAAATCACCATTAGGACTATTAAATGGTAAAAACAAGAAGTAGGTACACATGCGACACGATACAATGACTCATTTGTAAGTGACTGTACTCAGTTAATAACATGGGCTTTAAAATAACGTCGCGGGCACAATTGATAGCTTTGGGAATATGCGAGCCAATGACGGCATACAGGTAGTACTAAGAATACTAATTTCGACAATTTATTGTTATCTAATATATTCATTTAAAAACGAGCAAGTGTTACACGAAAAGGGTCATCATTTGCATATCTAAAGCCTTAGTTTTGGTATGTATTTCAAATTAGTTGTTTAATTTTATAATGGCTTATGTCAATGGTTTTACTTGTGTTTAATTATTTTTTTATGTTTTGTTATTATTAGGTATATTAAATTTTAAAATAAATAAAATGTAACTAACGATTAATGCGGAAAAGAAGAAGACAAACAATTGTTGATTATGTTTTTTTATATAAATAAGAAAGCTCTCTTATTTATAAAAAAATACAGAAAACGTTTATTTAAGAATCACTAACATATTTATCAATTTAAATTTGAATCATAATTTTATTATTTTTACATATATATAATACAGATACTTCTAAGTGAAAAATTGTTATATTATATTTCCACCCCTAAGTCATTGACAGGGATTCAGGAAGCAGTGGTTACGCGCCATTCGTACTTATATTATATGGCCTCTAAATCCTTTCCAAGGGTTTAAATTTATAATCACTCAAAAAAGAAATACAATACAGAATGAATCTCTACACGATCAGTTAAATTTCTGACCAAAACTTCACATAGGTATTTCGTTAAGTTTAGCAAAGCTTTGATGCGAAGCTTAACCATTGGTTGGGCAACATGTTGCGACAGATGGGTGTTCTATTCCGTCTGTGAATTGATTACCCCAAAGCGATTAAAGCGCTGGATTCATTCCGCCTTCCATTGGTTAGATTTGGAACACCCTTACCACAAGTTTACATACTACATATTTTATAGTTTTATATCCAGGAAACTACGTACATGATAGTATCAGCCTAGGCTTATGGCGGAAATACTGGAAACGCTCCGTATGTAGCAGAAATATGCAGACTTCTCGTAAAGCTATTGATGTTAAATTTGCATGCAGCAGTATACTCTAAATATTTTATGAGTGTTTTATACAACCATTTAAAAATCACAAAATAATTTAGTAAAATTTTGAATTAGCATGTAACAAACATATTTTGCTTTTTGTGAATTAACTCTTAAAGGAGTAGAAAAGAACAACTATGAAGAAGAACATCATTATGAGGGCAGTTCAGTTTCTCTGAATATTATTTTAAGATGAAACTTAAAATTAATCACTTGAAAAAGTAAGAAAAACAAAAATTTTGGTCCCCAAAACGAAAAAACTACATGCTCTCATTAGAGCACTTATTAACATCATATGTTTCTATAAAATCTATTTTATTCCTCCAAGTCCAATAGCATTATATCGAAATAAAATAAATCATTATATCTTTCAAAAACAACAAAACTTTTTCTTCCAATAAGGAACATTCGATTCATAAAATTAGTTCAATTTAAAAAATAAGTATAAATTAATTACTTAATTAAATTTGGTTTGAATTCCTTAGATTTTTCTCAAGGTTTATATTTCACTATACAATGAATACGTTCTTTATAACAGCAGTATAAATACACATAAATAAACTCATCAAATTGCTTATTGAAATGCTATTGGAGTATCACAGCTGCAAAGTTGCAATAAAGTAATACTAAGTATGAACATCAAACGCTACAAAGATACTATATAAGCTATATATATTCCAGCAACACTATATTCTTATACCAATAAAGCCAAATGTGAGCATAATAATGTCCTCAAAGAATACCGAAAGGTTATTAACTGGAGGAATCGTAACAACTACCAACTATGATGAAAATTAACTAGGCATTATTAGATGCTATTTGCTAATTTACAAATTAAACATATACTAAACAAGCTGTTATTTAAAGATACGCTTATTTTTTAAATAACCAGTTACTAATGTCTTTGACTCATGATTAAATCCAACAAAAGTTTATGGTACTACTAAATCTAAACAAATACAATTCACTGTATGAAAACAAAGAGAAAACTTTAGTGGCAACAGAATAAAATTTCAATCAATGAATTCATTATACATATTACTTATAAAATTCAACGTCATGCATCGAACTTACATTTAAAAGACTCAAAACGTGATAGATTTATTTTTCTTATAAATTATAGACAGTTTCCATATTATAATATGCGTGCTTAAATTACTTACTCAAAAGTTTAAGGGATACTTCACTTAATAGGAAAAAATATCCTTCCTAGATAATTGAGGTATTTGAAAGGTAATTTTCTTAAGGACGTAATTTAACAAGAATGCTCTAACCGATAACGTTTCTAAGATACTACTCATCTTTAGAAGCTTTAACGGAAATTGAAATTGATACATAAATTGCGATAGTACATGAGTTATAACTAAAAAATATATATATTTTAAGCAATTCCAAGTAATTAAGAATAGTAATTAAAGCGTACAAAGAACATTTCTCTCCTTATTATACTACCGCATATACCTGTATACATATGTATGTATGTAGTACGTACGTACGTAGCTTTAAAGAAGGTTCATTAATTTTTCAACTTCCATTTCGTATTCGGCTACAAAGGACTCTCTAATGTCTATTGTATCTTGAAACCCTTTACATTATCGAACAAAATTTGTATGCTAACTTTAATATTGGAAAAGAGGTTTCACAAAAACTTTATTGTAGAGAATATAAAAAATCCCATCTCCAACTGGCAGGTGAGATTTATATACAAGAGACAGTTAAGATGATGGCGTCGCGGTTCGGTGCTTAGGACGTTGACAGCAATCAAAAACCACAGCCTAACTATTGTTTCACAAAGTCATAGCTTCTTATTTATAGTAGCTCTTAATGTAAGGTAATAGAGTTCAGAATGGTGTATGTCCTACAATTTCTGGTTACGTAAACGAATACCTTGTTAGATTTTGGACGAGACTAAAAAGGACCCTACTCTTGTTGATGTCCGTAACATGAAACGAAATAATTTACGAAAAGTCCCTTGTTAAAATAAGTATTAGGTGCACGTAAAATGATACGCGTGCTAAGATTTTGATGAACGGTAAATTTTTACGTTTTAGTCTATATATGAATTATTTAATCGTTTTCAGATATGTAAAACAATGAACAGGATTAAATGTTTTTATGGTCTTAATGAAGATTTAAATGAAAAATATACATAAAATTACGGACAGTACATAAACAAATCATATATGAAGTAATCATAAAAGACTCTTCTTGTGCTTCATTATTTAACAAGAAAAACGCTTTTATTTCTACGTAAAATATTAACTTAGTTTTATTATTTTCCAGACGATATAATCGAAAATGAGAATAGCAAGAAATTCGCTATTTGAATTCCGTGTAAGTATAACTACTTTCTCGCTAAAGGTTTTATGAAATTTATTTTCAGTTTCGATGAATTTCGTTAAAATATTCGAGTTTATTTAAATTTCAGTATTGTATTGTTTTATTACAGACCTCCCTAAATGATTGATCGTGGGAATAAATCAGCAGGTGTACTAACCAAGACTTGAGCGTTGAGATGTCTGTCGTCCACCCAGGCGACGACGAGATCGGCTCCTCTCATATTCCTCGCTGAATTAAAACCCAAGCCGACATAACCAAGAGTTTTCGCTTCTAATCTGAACGTAATACTCGAATCTGTGTACACCCATCTGAGGATTACGTCACCATTTTCATCCAGCCTTTCGGCATGCGACCATAATAAACCCGATTCATAAGATTTAGCATCAAATGACTCCCTTCTATGGCGTTTTCTGTACTGGTCGACTATTCGTTTTGTCGATTTACTGCTTCTCTCTTCTTGCAACAGAGCTTGCGAGTTTTGTGTGAGATTTGATGGTAACTCATTTGCCCGGATAAGTTGCTTTCTAGACAGTTTAGCGTCACATAAGAAGAAAGCACTTAAAATTAATATACTTTGAAGTTTCATTTTATTTTCTTCAGTTTCTTCTGCACATTACTTGTGATACACCTGGAACAGAAATAAAAAAATATATAATATATTAAACAACTGTGATTATGTATCACAAGACTTCATTAAAAATATATATGTAGATTACTTAAATAATTTGTAAAATGGTATAAGTATAATACAGGCTTAATATTAAAAGTATATTGTTACTTATACATATATTAATTTAAATTTACAGCTTATATTAATAATCGTGAAACGCAATCAAAGTAATTTGAGAAATGATATACTATTTGAAACATTAATTTAATGGGAAATGATGAACTAGTATTACCATTACCTCGAATATCATTTAGCATGTAAAACAAATCCATCTTTTCAGAGGAAGCTTGCTATTAATAATATGCAAAACAAAAAAGTTTTATAAAACATTCTGGAGAGCTATTAAACCGGTAGTTTCCGGCAAAAAGCAATACTCACATCCTACTTGGAACAAGCTACTCGGAAGACTTATTAAACAGGTTTATAATGCAACGATTTAACGATAACACGTTAATAAAACCATAAAAATACATAAAAAATAATATAAAACATATACTAAGTATAAAGTTAATTTATATACAAAGTAACACAAAATATACGTAATTGTAATTTATAATATACCTATGTAGTTAAGAAATTATTGCAAAAAATATATATAAACCCTTCTAACATTATAAACGTCACGTCGTATTGATGGTTTGATTTATGGATGAATGATGTTTGTTGGTATTTCACGCAAAAAATTATGAATAAAATTTTACAGTAATATCACTCGTAAATCTGTATCACATATAGGCTATAATTTATCCCGAAATTTCATATGGTTCCCGCGGGAACACAATATACCAGTTGTATTTTTACGAAGTCACGTCCCATTCATACATATCCCTGCGGTTGGTTATATCTTTTTTTAAACAAACATTCATGTCTCTCTGAAATCAATTACGATGCTCAAGCAGATGGAATCGTTGGTAAAAACTACTATATTCTTGTGCTTGTCTGTCTATCTTTTAATTCCACTAAACTGTTAAACAATAGGACGGGAATTTTATAAGAATATTCTAGCAGAATAGCTTAAACAAAGTTTGTTTGAAAAACCGTTGGACCGCTCAAGATATAGAAACCGCAGACGAGTAGATAAGTAACTTAAATAGGTATAAAATTACAAAATTTTGTTAAAAAATCCCGTTATTTTGTTTCTAATTTGCAAACTCGGGTAATATCACTAGAGCATTCAGCGTGACGGCACGATTATTCGGTAATAAACATTTTAGCTTTACTTTATGTGTCGTTCAAAGTTATTATAATTAGATTACATTTTTTAATAAATGTGTAACTTTAGTACAGATTTGGACCAATTTTTCATGGGCAATTAAAAAATTCAAGGAAAAAGAAGGTGGAGAGATGAAAAAAAGTATCGTATGACCATTTCGATTTAAATAAGTAAGAATTACAGTAAAAAGTTACCGCAAATCTTTTGTGTGCCTACAAATTCCGAGATTCTCCAGAACTCAGTTTGGGAAAAGGAACTAAATAATATTTTTTTTTTGTACTTTCAATAAAAAAAATGATTCGTATTAATATTAAATCTTAAATTTAGATGACATTTTAAGAAAGATAAAAAATTGCATATAACAAAATGATCTGTTAATGAAAAATTAAATACGTCTCAAAAGAAGAAAACCATAAAAATGAATTATATGGATTAGGTATGCATATTTCGAATCTTTTATTTATGAAAAAAGACCGCAGTAAAAGAAGGAATAAAATTTCGTCCTACCTCTATGGGTCATGTAACCGGTTATTTTTTGTTACATTTTTTTTTAAGGTAACTTAGAGCGGAACTGCGAATAAACGAAACTGCGTAGTATAATATTCTTTAACAAAATTAATTGACACCACCGGCGAAGCGAACTATTTAATTTATCATGCAAAATAATTAAATGAAACGAAGCAATTACATTATGATGCGTTAAACTTTTGGACTTTTGATAGCTATCTATCGAAATGCGATCAGGAACAATAAAGGATATATTGTATTGCACATTTAAGGCACATTCACAATAACAAAAAAATATATAATACACATGAGACCAACAAAAAATATGGCCATCTGCTACCCGAGCGTCTTCATGGGAAATTTACGAGCAAAATTTTGGAATAATTCATACAAAAGTCCCACATTCTACACTGGCTGATTCTCACGGATTCTTACTTAAATCTCTATATTATTTAATTTGGGTATTACTACGATGATTACAGTTCATATTAAATCTAAAAAAAAAAACGCACACACACAATAAGAAATTTTTATTTATAATAAAGCTGAAGTTGAGAGAATTTCATAAAATGATTTTATATGTTTGTTATTTTCTACTCTTAAAATAAAATTTTAGTCTCAAATCCTTTGAGAAAATATGTGTTAGTAAATAACTATTATATTTATACTACTGCGAATTATAAAAAATAGTAAAGTTTTATGTGTAAAAATATACAGCGAATTGTATTTCATTAAAAAAATCTAATGTTTTTTTTGTCGTCCTATGAGAGGCCACAGGCTTCTTTTTTTTTAATTACCTAAACTACAGAAAAATCTAGATTTGACTTGTGAATGGGCGAGATTTTCTTTAAGTTTTTTATCTTATTATATTCTGTAATCTGATAACATTCAGATCTCGGTGCCCTGGCTGCGCATATACAAAACCCTTATTTAGGTTACACGCTTGGAATCTTTGAGGTTTTGTTTTTAAGCTTAGATCTACCGCGTTGCATTTTTAATCTTCTGTTAAATTCAAATTAAAAATAATTTCTCAAAATTTTAAGTTTATTGTATTGTATGTTCTTAATTCTACTTTTTAACCCTTTTGAACTTTATTTTTGATAGTTCAATTTAATTTTATCTCTTGAAAATATATATTTACAAAAAGTTTTGTATTTTTCATTAACCTTAAACTATATTTGTATATAACAAAAAACATTAATATTTGAAGACTTTTCTTGTATGATCATATTAATAATTAAATTTTAATTTTATTTCTGCTTTCCGTAGAACATTAAAATTATATAAATTGCAATCGTATTACCCGTAAGTTAAATAAGACTGTCATTTCATAAATCGACCACAAAAACAGGAGATCGATGGTTACTGAACGAAACAAGTTAATCGATGATTACCTGGAGGAAGTCCAAACCGCTCCCCGGTCGTTATAGAACCTAACCTAACCTTTGCAATGTATTTACAATTTTTAACTTTCATAGTCTTTATAGTTTTTAACTGTTAAACTTTCATCATTTGTAAATTTTATAGTTTCACTAGGTTATATGATTGTTATGTAACATCAAATCAAAATAAATATGAAAAAATAACATACAAAAAATTTAAACGGACACTGGAATTTTACTTATATAATTATTAGGATAAAATATTGAAATAACATTCTGCTTGTTATCGTTTCCTTAAATTAATATTTATTGTATTATGTTGTATTAACCAAAAAATCTAGAAACTGGAAATGATTTACTTCCGTTCCAGATACGTTGAAAACACGATGCCGCAATACTAAAGTATAACGTCTTCATTCAGACTGCATATTTATGAAATAAGATATGTAAATAAAATACGTTTGGTTGGCTTTTACATCACTTACACACGCAGTTACGGGAAATATATTGGTAACATAACATAATGTTACTATAAAAACCTAAAATTCAAATATTTTTCATTCACAGGATAGAGAATGATTCACTATAATCTGACCTGACGAATAAGAAATGAAGAAACTGTGGATGATATTAACACAGTTCAAGTAAAAGTGCATTCACTCTTGCCTTGAAAATATACCAAATTGTACGTGAAAGGAAACAGACGCAGAGGCGAAATGTCGCGCGTGTTAATATCTTAACGATGTAGCAGTTTATGCCTTATGTTATTTTTGTGTAAAATTTTACTTTGATATTAATTGGAATACACATACCTAAAATTTGTAACCATCTTTGGTTTAGTCTAAGGCTGATGGAAGAAACTCATACGATTATTTTAATAGCTAGTTATTTGTTATTTCACCTTTCCACGTATTTGTATAAAAAGGCTAGAACTAAAACTAAAAAAATATATAAACATTCGATGAAGGTAGAAAAAGAAAGATCAAATTTGAAAAGTCACACATTAATTACCATAACACCAGAAACCGAAGAATATTCTATATCTTCCGTTAAGGATAATTTTGGACATACTTACCAATTATGGTTGAGGAATTTAGATTTATATCTATTATTATATGATATTGCCCGTAATAAATATGTAGAATGTTGTAAAATTATGTGCCCATTGCAATTTATATTTTTCTACTGTACGAGCAACCTTATTAGACTTAAAAAAGAAACCGTTCAGTGGTTGGAAAAATTGTAACAAAAAATCATTCATGCCTGCAGCTATTGATGGCGTGAGAATTGAAAGAAAGATTCCATAATATAAATCTACAAATATTTAATATGTAATAGTTTATAAAAACAATAATCAATCAACGATGTCAGAATTCGTCCAATCCTGCTTTCGAAGAAATACCTGTCACAAAATTGTCAACTGCTTATCCTCGGAAATGTGCTATTGTTTAATTGTACCAAAATGCTTACGATTGTGACGTCATACATCATATATCTTATATCTGCCCACATCGTATACCAGTTATGTAATGGAATGTGTAACTGAACTATTAACACCAGCTCACCTACTCGAAATTCTTGCAACGAAAGTTTTAATAACAGCTATACTATTGCAAGTTTGGTAATTATTTATAACATAACTTATATATGTATAAATACTTACAAACTTACATGTAATATAATTTATAGAGCTTATTCTATTATTAGCTAGTCAGCTAATGTTCTGTGTGTATCAATTTTATGTAATATATCGAAGTTCGATAAAATTTATAAAAAGATAGACCTTGTACCTACATTATAATATTTTATTTATTCTGTTGTTTTGTAACTGTGAGTAGATCGATAAATTTCATTTACTAGTCCAGATCAATATAAAATGTTATGAGTTTTATTCGTCTCTAATAAATACGAAGACAAATTCATTGCGCAATCATTTCAAAACTAGGATTACTCATTATGATACATTAATGCATCGCCTACGTCTAGTAAACTTCTGTCGCAATACTAACATTGTGTGCGTTCAACTCGTAATGTATTTGAATAACAAAGTTTTTATCTTACAGATCAAGCCATTCACAGCAATAAACACGCAAGACAAGGATGATATTCAAAGATAATAAACGATTTCCAATACAAAATAACATTAGAAGAGTTACAATCTTACATACTA